ATGCATCATCGGTTTCATGCTTCGTTTATCGATGCTACTTGTGAAGATTCTTTGACTGCAATTCTAGCCTGCTTGACTCGGCTAGACTCACGCGACATTGACGCGACCGCCATAGAAAAACCTCTGTCACTGACGAGACGAAGCTGATGTCTTCTTCTCGCCCTTAGTCTCTAACACGATTACTGTAACAATATTTACCGGTTTATGGGTTTCAATGTCAGTTCAACACCGATCCTGCAATCCCACTGGCTTTCGGCACCAAGAGTGCTAGGATATGAAAACTCGGCTCAGTGACTTGATCCGTTCCACGTATAAACAAAAGCTTCGATCTCTTCGATTGTCAACGTCGTATCACAAGCGACAGCGTCATGCTGTTGTGTCTATGGCGCTCTCGAATGATCAATCGACAGAATGACGTTGGTCATGAACCTTGCATCTGTCAGTCACCGAGTGGTCATCGGTTTTTGTCGGCGATCGCGCGGTGCATGCTTCACGAGCCGCCAGACCGGGTGACAGACGTACGGACGAAGATGGATAACCCTGCGCTGCTCTCGCAAATGCGCCTTGCCTTGACTGCGCCAAAACAGGTCGAGAGGTTATTAACGCGGTATCACGGCGCACATTCGACGCAAAATCGAGAGAGACAAATTAGGCCCTTCGTTTAACAGCCTCAAAGGGTACAGATGTTTTGCGATAGAATTAGCCTCAACACCTGTTTCATTTATTAACGCCGCATAAGTTTTCGAAATACGTTCGTTGAGCCATGAAAAACATGGCGAAACCAAAGCTTAACACGACTGAAGCGCGATCGGTGCAAAACGATTGCAGCCAGTCATCATGCAACAATTTACTATTGGACGGCCGAACTGTTTCCTGTCTTCCTTTCACAGTAAGTAGCTGGAAACAAGCTGGTCGAACTTGTGAATGCGCGAGCATGCGAGTTCGGAGTGACCGTGTTCTGCAATGACACTAATTCTCTGCCCTCTTTCCAGCAGTCGCAAGCCTGATGCAGCTGAGCATACATGCGCGGTAAAGACAGCGCACTGCTGACAGATAGAAACGCGCTTCAGGCTTGACTGCTAAGGTTCGCATTAAACAAAAGCGATTTCACTACCTACTATTATGAGGACGTCGTAGGTGTTCATAGTTGCTGTTCTTTTCAGGAATAGTGAATTTCGGTTGCTTTCCGTTCTGATTATTTACGTAGCAGTCTCAATGGGAGTAAAACAGCCGCTCTTAAGTGCATCGAGGCTAATCCGATTTAATCTGCATAGACGGCAACCTATGAGAAGGATGAAACTTCGAAGTTAAGCATCTCTTTCAATCTTATTTTATCCAGACTTTGACCTCCATGGGAAGGCAGCTTCCTTTCACAGATCGCTTAAAACAACAAATATGAGGGCAGAATCGGAAAAGTAACGAACATCGCTTGCATTTCCATTCGCCACAAATCCACCGTGTCGTGGAAAAAGAACAGTGGTAACAGTACGTAATTGGGTACTGGGGCAAAACACGACATTTAGTAGAGTGCCTGCTGCCGAAAACACATTCTGAACGAGAAACAGCTAGCGATGTATTGGCAATTAGAGGTTGAAAGTTGCCATTCTGCCTTTAATAAAAATCATGCTTAAAAGAATTTGCGCATTAATCAAGACGAAAGAGTTGCGAATACCATCTGTTCTTATCCCTTTATGACGTTTCCGTGTTAATCAGTGTTTAATCTGTAAGAAGTGAGAAATGTGATTGGATCTTGAATGCGCCTATGGTCATCTTAGCAGAAGTCGTTTTCTCTGCAACTGTGTGTTTTCTCGTTCACGGACTGTACGCCATTTGATCGAAAATTGCATCAGGAATGCTTCTGAATGCTTAGGCGGAATGCATCTTGTCCTGGTGAGATCACAGCTACGATCATTGACCTTCGTGCCCAATTCGATGATCAGTTTTTCCTTCATCGCTCTCTCCCTGAACTCCGTGCCGGAGCTACAAAGCCAAAGCCGTTATTTGACCCGTCTTCAGCTGCGCAACTGCTGCTTTCGGCAGAAGCAGCAAAAACAGTTCGAGACAGCGTACAGACGTGTAGTCAGGGAGGGGGCAGTACACACAGAGTGGTCAGGCTGGATGAGGTGCGCAAAATTACCCAACTGTCACCAGCCGACGACTCCCACGGTTCCGGTTCAGTGTGTGACGTCCCTGCGCTCCGCAAAAACTCCGTATGAAACAAGGAAATTCTGATACTGCAAAAAATGCCCTTAAATTGCAGTTGATAGTGAATCAGAAGCAAATGGCGTGTTCGAATGAAAACAGCGTCGAATGAGAATGACGGCCGCTTGCATTCTCGCCCCCACCCCTGACTATGTGTCGCTTGTGTCATACATCGTAATTGGGCACGTGCCACTTTGACTCATTGCCACATTTATTTGTATGAGTTTTTCTTTCAATAGGAGTTGGGTTTCTGACCGGTTTAGAGGTCGGAAGTCACTCGCTTGGTCACTAGAGAAAGATTCGTCGTCTCAAATAACCAAATTTGATTTAAGCGTCATCACGACTCCTTTGGCATTAGGCTGGCTCATGTTTGACACCGAGTCATTTGTCATTATTCGAAGTCGTGTAGTGATCGATTCTCGCATCGATGACGAACTGCACGCAGCAAAGAAACAAGATCTGTAATCCTGTGTCGACTGACTGGCTGACTGACTGACTGTTCGCCACGCACGATCGTTAATTTGACCAGCTGACTGTTCGGTTAGGTTGGGTGATCGCAACTGAAGTCGGAGCGTTGCCATTGATGATTGCCACTGGATGGACTGACGCACAGAAGCAAGATCAGGGCAGTAAGCGAGTGCCTCGGTCAAATTTCTTCTGAACCTTCGATGAAATACGTGTTACCCGGTCGTTCACGACCGTCTACAGGATTACAGCTTTGCTCCCTACCGTCACGCGTACTCAGAGTGCAATTCCAAGGCAGATAAACTTCAGTGTATGCATTTGAAACCGCAGACTACAAACTTTGTCACGTAGGACTGCATGCCAGTCACCAATCAAGTATTCTCGTTTCTTCGGGCACCCAGTTGTCAGCCCAAAACAAGAACAACAGCAGTGAGATCCATCACTCAAAGGAACAGGACTCGTTTCGCAGTTGTTCTGCTCAGGAAGCCATCGACTGAACTAAATTTTTCGACTTCAGTGGACGGACCGCGCCACGCGGAGGCAGCTCTAGACCCTCAGCTATAAGCGGTTCGCTGCAGCGAAACGTGACTGCGCCCGTACTCAGTCTCTGAGTTCATAAACTTTTTGTTTCACTGCCACCACCTTTCGATCACCTTCACACGACCGTTCAATGTAGCTGTTTCCTGTTACTGGAATCGCAAGCGCGAGTGATGCTCTCACCGACTTGGCGTACGCGTACTAACTCGGTTAGAAAAATGTGCCGTTACGACATAAATATATTCATTCTCACCCTTACTTGATTGACATGTAGGGTGTACCGCATGCCCATATTTCGCTGATTACTCTTTGGCGACAAACTTGTGTAACATGATGCTAATTGTCTATAAATTCAGTTTCTTTTCCGGTTACAGTTAACAGTCTTCTTTCATCGTTTATTACCAGCGCTGCGCAACTCTCAGGTCAAGGTAGCGCAGACAGTAAATTAATGTCATTAATATTAAGGGTGTTGTCTGCAGGACTGACTTAAATTTGTCGCTGCACACGTTTAGTAACAGTTATCGAGTCAAATAACTGAAAACGTGATTTCAAGTTAACGTTTTCTGTTAAAGCGATTACGCAGCAGAGGCTTAAGGACCTATTAAGGAGAGGATTTGGAAGTGCGTTCTGATGAAAGTTTCAATCCGCTCAACTTAACTGCCCCCTATTTTCCTCGGGCATCATAAACAGTGGCCTCAACGAGTTTCTCCAGTGGTGTCGCTCTTCTACTAATGGGGTAGTTTAAGGTTTAAAACCAATGGTTAATTTACCAAAATGAGTTTTTTCACTTAAATTAGAAATGCATGGTCGGTTTATTTATACACAACGCAAGTAAACATGTTGGCCTATCGGATGATTGACCAGCACCGAATTTTGACTCGCCTTTCATGGGCTTTCTTCTCAGCAGTCCGGGTTGATTTCCGCAGCTGGTTCTGTGGTCCACGGCTGCTATGGTATCTGGAGCCAAAGGCGTGCTTTCGATCCATGCTGTCGGCTAAATAGTTTCTCAGAAACGTGTTTGATGAGGCACGTTCAATCCGCGCAGAATTGGTTTCTTTGTCCCGGTTGACATTTTCGAGGATTTGTCAACTGGGACAAAAGATATGAACTTTGTACGAAATGAACAAGCACTATGAGGTACATTACCGGAAAATCACACAATGGTCTATAAGGTGTTAATGCTGCGGAATAGTTTGTTCTAAAATCCGATAAATGCTA